AGATTTTTAGCTAGAGATTGAGACCATTTTTTAACATGGTAAACATTCGAACTAGAACAAGCTATTCAAAGTAGAGTCATAGCTCTTTGAATCATCTTTCTAACTCACTTTCAATCGCCTCATTTTAATATCGGAAGGAAAAAGTTATGATAAAATTACTAAAAGATGCTTAATGCTAATTTTTTACTCGAAAAGGTGGCACCACAACTCCACATTGGCGCCTAGGCGCCACAAACTGGGCCTCCCACCGCCCAATATTGGGAGAAAGGGCAAAAAAATGCAGCGTCACGACACAGCCTGATTGAGAGAAATGTTTTGAATTTTTTGGATTCTTTTTAAATCCCAATCCAATCCCAACTCTTCTAAGACTTCATAATATAAATACAACCTTAAAGATCACTTTTCAATTACAATTCAATCGGGCGAGAGGGAAAAATCAATCAAAACATCAAGAAGGGAAATTAATTCAAGTTTCAAAAGAGTTTTTAATCTTCTTACTCTTTATGTTGTTAATCACGATTTATATAATTCTTTCTTATACCATGAACTAAACTCTTCATACGGTTTAATGCTTTCAATTAAATAGCTACTAATTGAATAATTTTTTTGCTAGTCAATTTCGACATTTGGGAAGGGAAAAATTAGGCATGATCTTAGAATAACACAACCTAAAAAATTATAGTTTTTGGGAGAAATTATAATTCCTTTGAAACACGTTCCACTTGAAAATTACGAACTTGATAATTTCTAGATTTTAATTCAGAATAGAGATATTGGAATTAAAATATAGGAATTATTTTTAATCGGCACTCGAGAGAGGAAATAGAATTATATTAGAGTTCTTGTTTATAAATTTTGGAAAATTGATTAGAAATAGTTATATGATTGAAAATCATATTTGATAGTTAGGTGAAATCATAATCATAGACTTTCTCATCTTGTTATTCTTCTAAATGCATTTATTTGTTGAATTCGTCATCATATTTGTCATCACATTAGTTTAAAACCATTGATCTTATAATTCGAACTCCCGGATGCAACTCTCTTTTTTTTTTGCTCCAAAACTTTGGCATAGTTGTGTGTTTTTATGTTTTTTAATTAAAGCAAAAACGTCCCCTCCTTCAAGTCAAAGACAAACCTGTTGATACTCTTTCTATTCAACCTTCAATTTGTGCCTAAAGAAGTACAAAAATATCCCTAAATTATTCAAATGTCAACAAAATTGAATTCGCACTCAAGAGACTAACGTTTCGTAGGGGCGAAATGTTTTACACATGGAATTTCTTCCCGACCAAATCTTCCCAGTAAATGTAATTCCGTCCCTACCAAATTTCCATAAGAGAATTTTTATTTATTTATTTAATTATTTATTTATTTATTTCTTGTCCAGATTGCTAGTTTCTGTTTTCATTTGCACTTAATTAAGTTCGTTTTTCTTACGTTCGACTTTCCTCCACCTAACTTGATCAAACCATTTGAACTCTTCCTCTTTTCATTACTGCCCTTTTTTCGTTTGGATTTTCCTAAACAAGGAAAATAACACGCCAATTAGTGTAAAATTGACGCAAAAAAATTACCAAGCACTCAGTATAGGATCGACGTAAATGAAAAAATGAAAATAATAATAATAATAATAATAATAATAAATTTATTAGCTTTATATATATAATGTTCTAAAGAGTGCAAAATAATATAAAGCAAAGGGCTGAAATGGGAATATATGTTTATTCTGAATTTGACTCCATCCTATATTGATCGTGACCTAAAACAAAAAAAGGAAGTAAGCTGAAAACAAACAAATTTTGGTCTATTTTTTGGATTGGGCCATTTTATCGTACATTTAGAATGAAAAACTAAAAGAGATTGAATAATATTTCTGGCACTGTCGCAAAAAAAAACACAAACTTCCATCGCATAAGTAAATTTTTCTTTCCGCGTTGTTCTTCGATTACAAAACATCTACGTTCAATGCCACATTAAGTGAATAAAGAATTTGAAATAACTTCTATTTCTCTCATGTTTCTTTTTTTCATTTGCATTGAGCAAAATGTACCTCCGAAAATTGTGCCTTCGAAGCTCCAATCATAGTTTTTTTATTTTCACAATACTACTTGGAACATGCTGTACACTCTTACATACAGCATGCATGACAACCCCTTCATATGGGGCCCCACACTCATTTGAGGGGTTGTAAGTCTTGTACGAGTACGTTAACCCATACTACTTTTATTTAGAAGATAGGCTTGTTCAAACTTAATTTCAAATAGAAAATATTTATACATTTGGTTCGTTTGAATTTAAAATGATTAAAATAAGAAATGAAAATTCAAAAGTTTAGGGTGTGTTTGGTTTGCCATTTTCTGTTATTAGTTTTCAAAAATGTCCAAAACGTGTTTGGTCTGTCATTTTCAAAAACAATGAAAAATTTATAATTGAAAACTCAAAATGATTTTTTTTCGTTTTGAGTGTCTTCAGTTAAAAAACTCAAAACGCGAAAAACACTCAAAACATGCTATTTTTTTAACCCAGAGGATGCTCAACAGTGCATAAAATAAAATGTTGTAATCTGATATAATTTAGTGAAGCATAATAATTTTAAAATCCACAAAACATTTTTCAATTTCCATTATTGTTTTCTTTTTCATTGATCAAAATTTGGAAGAACAATTTTTTATTTTTATTTTTTACTATCCAAGTGACAGCAAAATACATCTAGAAGGATAAAAGACGGACTAGCTATTTTCTTTATAGCGATTCCTATTTTTGGTTATTATTTTATTTTTGTAACAAGAAAAAATAGTAAATTCACCAAGTTTAAAATATAAATTATCTGGTAATATATTAGCATAAAATTATTATGTTTTACTAAATAATCAAATTAATTGAATAAATGCCATAAAATAATTTCTAAAAATTTTAAACCAAACGCATTTTCTAATTTTTGTTTTGAGAAGCCATTTTTTAAAATGACAAATCAAACACATTTTCTCTAATTCGAAAATGGCTAGTCTCTCAAATAAAAAAACTAAAAATAAATTCAAAATTAAAAAAAGAAAATGAAAATGCAAATCAAATGAACCCTTAGTTTTTTAAGTACCAAACCAACATTGTAAAAGGAAATATTTAAGACTTCGATAGACTAACAGCACGATTATAGAGGATATCGTCCAAATTAAATTTAAAACCAGAAATTTAATCAGCTAAATAAAAACTTCAACGACTTTATAATTTATTATATAAGAATAAAAAAATAACAAACTCAGACAAGTTAAGGTTGGTTAAAAGAAACCTGTAAAGTAACGCGTTGGTCCTAAAGACGTACCGACCGTTGTGCAAATACATTTCAATATTTGCACAATTTTTTTTTACTTGTTTGAAAAGTAACGCGTCAGTCAAAAAGTAGTGCAAATCTTGAAATGTATGTTGAACACGTTAGTCAAATTTGTTTTCTAAAGATATATTTTTTGAAATTCATTGACAAAGAAAATACATTTTTTAGCTAGGAGCGAGCTATTTAGCCACAGTGAGTGACATCGAGGTTGATACAATACACATAAATTGGGGCCAAAATTATTTTATTCAGACGGGACCCATCTTGATATGTGAGGACGCGATCATCTATTGTGTCAACCATGATGTACCTACCCAGCCACCTATCGGGGGGGAAAAAAAACTATGTACGTGTATTCATAACTTATACAAATAACCCTTCCTAACAACTATTTTCTTTTTTCCCTTTTTCTTAATAGGAAGGATGCTGGCTGCTTAGAATTTTCAATTCCAAGAAATTTCAATGGAATTTACTTATTGTCCTTTCTACAAGTCTACTAGTCCATTATTGACGGCAAACAATTCCTACCAAAAAAATAATGGAGAAACTGCACAGTTAGTCCCCAATCTAGTCTCCCAATTGCAAGTTGGTCCCTTACTTTTAAAATGAGCAATTTGGTGAACAAGTTTTCTTTATGTATTATTCCACTTGTACAAAAACTCCATGTACAGAATTAGTCCAGAAATCTCATATGAGATAGACCTCATGTGAATAAAATAATGCTGAAAAAAAAAAGAAAAAAAAAAAACCCACCCAACTACCCCTGCCCTGTTGTTTGTCTGGAGGGGTTCTGTAACCCCTCCATCCGTACATGAAGAAGCATTGTTTCTTATAGTGTCCTGCCAACCCTCTTAAAAACTCGTAGCACTTCAAATTTAACTTCTCAAAGTTCAACGTGCAAATAGATTTAGCTTGATGTATTATCGTCCACAGAAAGCTTCTTAATATATTCAACAAGCTCATAGCCATTTATGGAAGATGAACGAAAGAAGTCAATTTTATTATGTAGGGTTCTAATGATAAGACTTGAATGATCCTTATTATTTTGATTTTAGAAGTGAGTATTAACTTTTGGCTATGCGACTTTAACCTATAATTTGCATCAATATGTAGAAATTTTGGTTATTGAATCGAAATAATCCAGTCAGGTTCCATACTTAAGTGTGGAACCAATTATTCCATTATAGATATCAATTGGTCTTGATTCATGTGGTTCTCTGCGGAACCGAAACATGTGCACCCCTAACTATAACGAAAGGTTGTGCACCAAGTTGCTCTAACTTATGGATGGAAAATGAAACATTGTACGGAAACAATAGGCCGGGACCAATTGTACAATTTCCTTGAAAACATGGGCAAAGCACAAGAAAAACAGGCCACCCTACCCTACCAAATCTTCCCATTTCTCCCAAGCAGAAAATTCCTTACGAAGAAATTTCCTCCAAATTTCCTGGAATTTCATTTTCCTTTCCAACTTCTCCCACAGACTAACTGCACCTTCCAAGCAATTTCTTCACCTTTGAAAATCAACCCTTTACTCCTATAAACACCCCTCCCCCAAAAATCAAATATTCAGCTTAGATTTTGATCCACTATTTTCTATCTATATGCGAGGGTTGAATATTTTCAAGAACTGTAAACTGCTTTTCTTGAGAGGAAACTATTAGCCATGTCTAACACTTATTTGACAAAATTACCAGTAGAGACCTTATCACTAAATACAGTTCCCCTTGTACTCCTGATTCTTGGATTGGTCGATTTCCCTTTGCTGCGTATATTTAAAAAAATCTTCAGTTTTTTCTCAGGAGGTAATTCTTGCATCCAATCTCATGAGTCAAATGATTTGAAAGTTGAGGCTAAGCTGAATGAAGAGCTTGATAGCGTCTCCAAAAATGAATCTTTCTTGAAGGAGAAGGAATTTGATGAGAGCATGTGCAGAGAAGAGATGGAGTTGGTGTTGAGAAGCTTAGGGATTTCTTGTAGTCCTGATGAAGAAAAGCTTCCGGCGAGGGTCGATTCGAGTTATATTTTTCAACTGTTCGAAGAGAAAAATCCTGGTTTGGATGAAGTGAAAGAAGCTTTTGATGTGTTCGATGGAAACAAAGATGGATTCATTGATGCAAGTGAGTTGCAAATGGTTCTTTGTGCTCTTGGTTTTAATGAAGGGTCAGAAATGAAGAATTGCAGGAATATGATTAGGGTTTTTGATGAAAATGGAGATGGGAGGATAGATTTTCAGGAATTTGAAAAACTCATGCAGAGTAGCTTGTGTTGAATCATTCTTTCATAAGTTTAGTAATTTATAGTAGGCATGTTTGATCTACAAAATTGGAGATTATGATGGTCAAGATTTTTCTTCGTTTTACATTCTTAAACGTTGTCTAGTTCTGTGCAATCGACCTTATTGAACAAGTTTTATCTCGACTCTTTTACCCATTCTTTGAATCGAACACCACAATTTCAGGACATATTTTATTCTGCAGCTTATAAAGGCTGATATTTGTACATCTATTAACATAATGATTGGTTATTTCTCATTGTTATCATAATTATTGATTTTATACATCTTGATGCTTTTAGCATTATCATATTCATTGTTTGCCAGTATTTGAAAGAGAGTGGAAGATAACATTTAAATATATACGTGTTACTCGTCCAACAATTAAACTTTTAGATTAGATGATTAACATGCTATTAAAACTATATAAAAGGCCACCAATTTATTAAAATAACTGTCAGGTGGGGACTGTGGACATTAAAATCTGGAAAAATGCTAAACGACCCGCGGTTGACACCACGGCTGACCACCCTCTCACATGTCGAGGTGGGTCCCATTGAATAAAATAATACCGACCTCCCCCATGTGTGTGTGGAGTGTCAACCCCGCGGTCAAGTTCGTGAGCTATGTAGCACAACCCTAAAATCTGATGCATACTTGAAAGAACAACTGAATAATATTATGCGCCCGTTTGAAACTCATTAAAATCAAGTTTTAAAGAGCAATCGAATTTTGGAATACTATATTAGTATTTAAAAATTCTTGATACAAATGACATTTGGCAGAATGAAGAAAAGTCACAATGATCCATTGAAATTCAATTTTCCCATTTCACCCTCACTTCATGGCAGGAAATGACACTTTTACCCTCCAACTTTCTTAGTGGTTATTTTTTCAAAGAATAGTGGTGGGGGTGAATTTGGAAAGAAAGAATGAAGAATTAAATTTTATGGTGGAAAAGTCAAATTCATTGCCTCCTTCCCTGACATTTACAAAGAATAAGATCCCACTAAACTTGAAAATGGAAATGAGTTTTCGCATTTTAATGGTTTTCAAACAAGTTCTAATTCTCAAGTCGATCCTCTGTGTAAATGAATTTAATATAGATTTGTGAGGTGGTGCTCCAAATGGTTTGAAAGGTATTAGCAGTGGATAGCACGTAAAAGCAAAGAAATTATCAATGCATCGGCCTTAGTTAAATAGGAAAAGTTATTAGGTTTAAGGCTTTTCCAATCTGCATGAAAATTGGCCAGCTTGACTAAAACGTGGCGGTGGCTACTAGCATTTCGAAAATCTGTTTGGAATTATTAGAACTTATTAGGTTTATATTCATAAATTTTAAAATGGGTTAGGTCTAAAGGGTCACCCAATTTTGTACAACAGATGTGTCTCTGAACAACATTGCTTTGTTAGCTATTCTTCGCCCCTCGTTGATTGTCTCTGTCTAAGGGGCACCCAAATTTTGTTGCTTGATGGAGTGTGCGGAAATTGCCCCGATGGCGAGGACGATGGTGGCAGAAGAATCGAGCACACGAATGGCACATCACTTGGAATTGAAATCAATTGTTGAGTACTTGCATTGAGGAGCAGTTCAGCTAGTTGTAGTTCGAGAAGCATAGATTTTACAAGACCATCCCAACTTTATTTCTCAACCAAAACAAAGAAAAACATACAAATACATGAAAGAGCCAACACAGTACTTGTCTCAACCTACACTTTCTCACTATCTGCCTCTCTTCAAAACTCAAGTACAGCAGATGGAGAATGCAATGCTTACATGAGGATGCAAGAAGCACTTTCCTCTACGAGGATGTTAGCGGATTCAGTGGGGGAAAATGTCACTGACCACAAGAAAGTGACATGAGGTTTGACATGATATGGCAATGTCATGGCACAAAGTGAGAACATGAGGTAGACCTATGGCAAATTAGGTCTAAGCTTTGACTGTACATGGCGATGAGGGCGTCGCCTATTTTGGTGGGGGAGTGACTTACATTCCCCTCGATCACGGTCGATAAGTCCAGGTTGTTACTGAAAAAATCAAGTAGTGGTACAATGTGCTACAGTTGGACAGAAGTACCTGTGATAGGGGATGCAGGTAGGGAAAACACGAGCACTATGACATGGGACATAGGCAAGACCAACATGGGCACTGTGGCAATGGAAAGCAGGCAAGCAAAACTTATGCAGACTGTGTAGGCACTGCGACAGGGGATGCAACAGCAATAAGACAGATTGTGTAGGCAAAACACAGGCTAGGAAATGCCGATCAAGGATGCAAGGACACAAGTCAGCTTTATCTAAATAGAAAACCACTATCGTGAGGGGAAGTAATACCGTGGATTGCAGCCAGTAGTTTTGAATGCAAGTGGTTACCAACTTGTGCCACTTGTGCAACTAAGAGTGGGCAAAAAAATCAAAAAACCAATCAAGCCAATCAAACCAAATTGAGTCAGGTCAGTTTGAGTTGGTTTGAACCAAAAAATTGGTTTGGTTTGATTAATTTTAACCATTAAAAGTCAGGTTGGGTTGGGTTGGTTTCGGTTTAAACAACCAACTCATTAATTACCCGCAAACACATTTTTTTTTAAAATTTTAAAATTCATTGTTTTAAGCATAAAATAATAAAAATACAAATAGATTTTCACCTCAAATAATTTGTTTATCATTTATATTTTTCTACCAAACTCTAAATATCAAAAGAAAATAGAGCAAGAAGAAGAAGTGTTTGATGTAAACTTCGAATTTAGATTGTAGCCTTAATTTCATTTTAGTGTAATTATTTGTTGGTATCCATTGAATTTATATATGTGATGATTTTGGAAAAAAAAAATGATCCCTTATCATTTACATTTTATATGTGTGTGTGCATGCGTGCACGTGCATTATGCAAGAAAAAATTTTATATATAAAAGAAAACAAGTTTTCTAACTCAATATGAGTAGACTAATTTTTTTTTTTTTTTACTCGCTCAAATTCCCAACCAATTAATCAAACCAAACCGATCCAAACCAATTTGATTTGGCTTGGTTTGGTTGCAACGACTGGATTGAATTGATTTGGTTGGAATTTATCCAAACCTCTCAAGTCGGTTTTGAATTGGACTCAAAACCAACCAAACCCCAAGCATGCCCCGGCTTATGTGCAACTTGGATAAGGAAGCCAAATCCAACTTGACAATATACTCAAGGAAATAAAGTCCAACTTGACCACCATGATAATGAAATATCCACTTACACGAGTTGTAGAAATTATCTACTTGTATGGAAAGGGACATGCTTACTAACATAGAGTTGAAAAGGAATAGAGGCATTTCGACATGTTAACTTGCCAGTGTAGAGACATTCAACTCGTAAGGTAATAAATTCTAACTTGACTACCTTGTGGTCTAAGGAGGTGGATAGCAACTTGCAACCAATGAAAATCATTGGATCAAAATTAATCATAACCATTACTACCAACTTGCATACCATAAATTTGCCTATAAATAGAGACAATTGGTCGTTTGTAAATCCCATCAAGGGAAGAGAAAGTAATAGAGAATTGAAAGAAAATTATCATGATTGAAATGGAAGTAAATAAGATTGAATAATATCTTTATAAAGAAAAAATACTTGAGAGTTTGTACATAATTCTCTTACATTTATATAAAGAAGTTTGTCCAATATATGTGTGTGCTCTCATAATTTCCTATCTACCATCTCTACAAAAGTTAACATATAATTTAACCTCACTGGTTAAGATCCAAAACAACAATAGAAACATTTGAGTCTTCGATTTGGATTACGAAATGAGCCACTTCAAATAGGTTCATTGCTCCGGCCCAGAATACGATTAATCCGGCGTGGGTTTAAGGTTGATGTTCGTGTGAAACTCTCAAGCGTACGGGATTGTTGACAAGTAATAGATTTAATGAGTTAGAGTATCGTCCCACGAGGAATAAAATTTAACTTAGTGTATTAGTCCTTAATTAGATTCAAAGCGAACAAATTAATAGTGATTTTTGTGATTTTTAATTATTCTAATTTAATCTATGAAAACGTATAAAATATGAATTTAAAATGTAAATGGGAAGAGTGTATTAAATTACGAATCCACCTATTATTATCTATTCCAATTCTCGACTATGTAGTTAGTTTCGCTCTTGGATTCTTGACAATCGATAATTCTATTGTAATTAATCTTCTTTTCCAAAACAAATTAAATATATCCTATTCACGACCCGATCCTATTCCTAATCCGAATTCATATAAATACAACCCATTCAATTTCATAACTATCTCAAAATTTGCACACTAGATAAATCTTATTCCTAAAATTTATTGCACATATGTTAATTATGCAGTGTTCTAAATATATTGTGAGTCTACTAGCACTACAACAAGCAACTATATATTTAATTGGTGATGAGGTAATCAAATAATAAAATTAAGCATGCAAGATTAATAAACAATTGCAAGAATTTAACTAAACCACGTGTCTTGAATTAAAAATAAATAATATTGGGTTTCATCTTCATCCAATACATGAGAAAATTAGACTAGCATAATGTTGGAATTAAACAGTAAAAGAGGAATGACATCACCAATAAATTGACGGAACGTGATTAACTCCACGATTTTCCTCGACTTCTGTGCATGGAATATAATATATATACTATGACAGCCCCCAATTCTTGTCTCCTAATTTTCCCTTCTCGAATCTAGTGATGGCAATTTATCCCCCCCCCCCCCCCGACC